CTGTACGTCCGCTGTATAAGCTACTTTATTCATGCGCATCCTTAACAGAGGCTTCAATATTCCAATTAATAAGTCAGGTCCTTTGAGAAGCTTATCGTTCAATGAAACTCCTTCGTATCTTGCGCTTGCATCGTACACGTTCCTGTACTTGGCTGGTGTCTTGTTCTCATTTACAACAAGACTCATTGGAAGGTACCATATGTTTGGCCAATTGCCGTGCAGATCCTCTGGTGTTGCATATCTCATGTATTTTAGATCTAATAGTTCCTTGACATTTTTGTTATATTCAGCTTGATGAACAGGATTCTTCTCCAGTTTCTTCTCATGTGCTAGCTGTCTCTTAAATGCTAATGCATAATTATTCGGCAACAATGGAATCTCTTTTTCTTTTCTATTCCATACTAGAGGAACCTCTACTGTCCCATCTGCTAGTATTTTCATCTCTTCTTTCATAATATCAATTGCCTTCTGCTCTGATTCGGGTATACGAGAATCGCATGCTTTAATGCCTAGCGATTCCACTGAATTAAAGTGAACTAGTAAATCTGATAATTCTTCGTTTGATACTCTTTCTGATGTATCAAGTATGCTGTTGTAATTGTTACCGCTGGCTCTTATTGTTATATTCACATTTGGTGGTATTGAATATTCGTTGGAATCTCCTCCATAAACTGTTATTCCTAGTTTAGTTTCCAGGGCAACTGGATTTCCTGGGCCACCTTCTATTAATCCTGTAATACTCTCTATTGCATATGCGTGAGGACTTCCGATCAACATAACTGGTTCCTCATCAAAATAACTGTCAAAGTTAACACCCTTCAAGTAGGGGAACAACTTTTTCATCTTTTCCATGTCCAACGTTCTAGCAGGCAAATGGAATTCATCAATTGCATAACAATCTTTTAATACAATTGGCTCGGAATGTTTTAAAACTCCTTGGAGTTCAATATCGAATTTGATAGCCACGTATTCTCGAATTGTTTTATCGGTCCAGGTTACGCTTAACGTTTCAGGCGTTCCTTCAATACCCAGAGCTAATCTTAGGTCATTTCTTAGTAGTGTTATTTCTGCAGCGGAGTCTCCCACAGAATAAGCAACGACAAATCCTTTAGATCCCATGAACTTGTTTTTGAACATTTTTACTGTTCGCGGTACATCATCTGCCAAGTGATTAATCTGAATTGTATATGTAGCATGAGGATTAATATTATATGGACGAGGCTGATTAGATCCAGATGAATTTGTTCCTATGTTTGCATTCACATTCTGGGCTTGTGCATTAGCCAGTCGAATGGCATTTGCTACTTGTTGCTGTTGTATCGGCGGTATGCCTTGCTGTGGCATATTTCCATTACTCTGTGATCCAGCATTATTCGGTGCTGTTGAATTGTTATTTGGTGCTGTTGGATTATTATTCTGTGATGCATTATTCATTGTTTGCTGCGCATTATTTGTATTTGTACGAGTCTGCGATCGTCGCTTCAAATAGCCTCCAGACCTCGGTTTTTCACACGCAAAATGAATCGAAGCATGATGCTTTTGTGTGCATCTTTCAAATTTCCCTGATTTTAAGCCACAGCTTACTTTTAAATTGCACTCACTAGCTCTATGTCCTGTTGTTACAAGACAATTCCTACAGAGTCTCTTGTCATTCGCTGCTTTCAGTCTTTGTTCTTCTGACATTGCTTGAAACTGGCTACACTGAACAGAATAATGACCTGTACGACTGCAAATTTCACATTTCTTATTAATGGAACTAAGCGATTGCATATCGTACCCCATATAAGGCGCAGTAGAACGGTCTCGAATCTCAAACTTGTAACTAAACTTATCATTACGCGGTCGTGGTGATGTTGTTGTTCTTGACATATTCATTAATTGCAATGTCTTTGTCTTTCTATCATCCTTTCTACCTTTATCTTTGAGACTGTCTGGCTTTTCATCTAAAATCAGCAATCTCTCCCCAAGATAATCATAAATTGTTCCAAGACAAATAACGATTTGTTTCCCTGGATTTTTTCTTACAAACATCTCCTTGCACCTTGCTTTATCTTCATAGCTCAATTGATCATAAATTAACTCTGCCAATTCATTAGAATTCAAGTATCCTGTCTTGGCGTAAGTGCATGCAGCAAAATATCCTTGGAGAACAACTCGAATTTTCACAGCATCCTCTCTATAGATCATTCCAGGTATCTTCAAGGCTTTTACGTCATTTCCTTTATGACGAACCATAGTCATAGGATCACCAAACGATTCTTTTAAAATGTCCATTATTTGCTTAAGTGTAAATATATCAAAGACATCCTTGACGGCTTCAAAAGCATCTCCCTTCAAAGCTCCTCTGACATGTAATTTAATCGTTGGATCATCATACTTGCAGACTGCACGATAACGATTGACATCCTGCTCAAACTCTAACCATTTCATTGTATCTCCACTAAAATCTGTTATTTTTGGCATTGCACGACGTACTGTTGCTAACTCCTTTTCCTGCTGAATTCTTTCTTGACATTCAGTGAACCTAGATAAAACTTCTAGAGTGCTTGTGTCACCTTGCGAATTATTAACTGATATTTGTGGCACTTCAATCAGGTTAGCATTATCCAAATTACATCTCCAGCGTGTTGATTCACTATCAGGTGAGTTAACGTTTCCAGCATAAAATGTACTCATAGAGAGTGTCTCGTTTGTATTCACTGTATCTCCCTGATGTTGAGTTGACTTTCCAGCTTTATTCGCATTTACTTCTAAACGCATATTTTGTATTTCTTGCAGCATTGAGTCAAGTCTCAATTTGGATTCATTCTTTTCCTGCTGCAGGAACGTCTTAAGTTGACCAATTTCACTTCTGGCTTCAGTCAATTCTCTTCTCAATTTCTCATTCTCGTTACTGGATGTTGAAGCAATTTTTGTTGTTTTATTTGTTCTGAATCTCTCAAATGAGTCCAGATCACACGAATCGAATTCTCCATCCGTATCAAATTCACTCTCAGGTCCTTCAATCGTCGAATCTCGTAAGAACTTCTTTCTTCTCGCTTTGATTTCGACTTTGTATCCTGATGTTTTGTAATAAGCACATGCCTGTGGATTCAAGACATTTTCTCGACAAGCTAAACATAGCCATGGAACTGCTTCTTCTGCGATTCCTTCTCGACACAAACCAACACACTGAACGTGATATACCTGGTTGCAAGTAAAGCAGAATAGCATTGGATTGAACTCATAATTTGCAGTCTTTGGTTGCAAATATTCAGCACTTCTCACGGGTAATTTACATGTCTCTGCGCTGCATTTAAACTCGGGTTTGATTTTAGTCCCTGGAAGATAATATCCTCTAATTCTCGACATTAAATTGTCTTTTTTATCAAATTCCTTAATCCATTCTGGATTTAACTTTCCATCTTTTACAACTTCCATCTTGTTGTATGGTTCTTTGAAATCCTTACTTCAAAATTTGCTCTAATATTCCTTTGTCAAAATATTAGATTGCTTTAAATTGTCCTTTCCTTCAACAATCCTCCTCAATAACCTACACGCTCAACTTATAATGTATGGCTCAAATACCACAGTAAACTATCCGCTCAAATACGAAATAGTTTACGAATGTTTGACTTGATCTCAAATAATCGGAGGTCAATCACACCATTGAAGTCGCGTGCTATAACCTCTCAAATAAAAGTAGAAAATTAGTCTAAACTAATTTCTTACCAGAACACTGAGCTGCTTAAATATACTATTGCCTGCAAGTCACTCCTCAAAGCACTTCTAACTGCAATAACTCGATCTCTCAGCTTCCAGATAAATTTTTGAAAAAAAATGTTCGCGAGTAATACTGGCGTCGCTGGAATTGAAGAAACGTAGAAAAAAAATACTCCGAATTCTTTTCAATTCAATGTATTTATTCTATGCCGTTTGGCTAACGTTTTTCACTGATGGTGAATAAAAGAATAGTTAATTAAACTATTAAAAATGTGGAATATAAATCCCTTACAAAATTTGTGACGTCTTCTCGCTTCAGAGGGTATATAAGAAAGAGGGAAGACGAGTGGAAAATCGAGGGGGAAAAAGAAATATTTCTTGGGTCATGAAACTTTTCCCAAATGATAAAATTCAATTTATTATTTCAATATACGTTATTGATTAATCAATAACAAATTTCAATTTTTTTTCAACTTTTTAAAATTTTTTAAGATTTTTTCAATTTTTTTAATTTTTTTTCAAATTTCTTCAATTTTTTTTAAAAGTTTAGTTGAACAATCAATTAATGGCTGACTTATGACGCCAGAGAAGGGGAAGGGGGAAGGGGGAGGTCTGCAAGAAAAGAACAATAGAAATTCCTGGAAATCCATTGAAAAATGACCCTGAAATTCGGACGTCATAAGTGAACGACCCCTAATTAGTTATCGTGAGCAGCACACCAAAATGGCAAAAGGTTTCAAGTTGACGAAAAAGAGTCGCCCAACGTCGACGGTTCGTTACCATGACAGCCACACATACATAAGGAGATGTGGAGGTCAAAGAGTTACATCACGTCGTCACAGCGTCAAGTTAAACCTTTTTTTGCCATTTGGTTCTAAGAAATGTTCATTTATGTAACCTAATTGTTTTTTTAAAGATTTTCTTTTTTTCATTTTTTGACCCTAGTTAATCCCAAAAAGTCATTAATAAATGACTTAGCTGAACATCCAGTTTTACTCAAGTTTTTTTTTTTTCGTTTGGTTTCACATATAGCTAAGGGCTCAAGCCTTCATATCTTCTTTAAGGGATCTTGTCCAAAAATTGAAAGTTGATGAAAAAATATTTGATTCACTTTTTAAAATCGTCCACAATCAGCTACGTTCCTGGATAGGCTTCAATAACCCCAATAATCTGTTTATAAAATTACAGCACCATAGATTTGAACATCGAATTGTATTTGAACATCAATTTAGCAACAATCTTTCATGTTCATTGCTAATGTTAATAAGCTCGATTGATTCCATTTTCCAATATTTTCCTTAAGTGCATAAAGTTATCAACTTTTCACCATTTGCCTTCCTCAAATTGGAACATTGTGATCCGTTTATTGTATTTAATGGAATTGAATTTGATGGATGACGATAGACATGCTTGTATCGATTTGCGTAATTCTTGAAAATTCCAAGTTTTGAAACAAGCATAATTGCATCGCGTCGATACTGTGACGTAAGGATGGCATAAAGGTATGGGTTGGCGCAGGAATTGAGGGGATAAAAGAAAACAATGATGAATTTTGACTGTGTGACTGTTATTAAGCTGTGACCAGCTAGTGCAAAAATTGTAAAAAATATTATTGGAGCAAGACATGCAAAGTTTGTGAAGACCTGGAATGAGATTAAAGTTGAAATGAGTTTAAAGTTTTTTTTTAATTTGATCTTTACTAGGTTAGGAACAATTTTACAGTTAAACTCACCAATAAAGCCATCTTCTTTGCCACAACCATGTCTCGATTTGATGCATGTGGCTTGGTAAAGTCTTGATTTCCCAGATTCAGATAAATTTGAATGTAACAAACCACAACGATAATGAATCCCAATGAATTGAGTACTACTGCTGTTATTAAGTAAAATTTGTCCGGTAAGTCATTCAATTCCATAGGGATGCAAATGCTGTGAATGAAAATTTAAATCAATTGTTAAAAATGATCCTTGTTTGATATAAATGAGTAACTTTGTTATAGCCTGACTAGCTACACCCCTGACCAGCTACACTCTTGAACAGCTCTATCCGTGACTAGCTACTCCCTTAACCAGCAACTACCTTAACTAGCTTCATCTCTGACTAGCTTCACTCCTGACTAGCTACTACCCCAACCCACTAAATCCCTTGACTAGCTACACCTCTTACCAGCTACACCCCTGACTTCCACCTAATACACATAAAATATCAAAAACATCAAGCTCACCTAGTCGATGAATAATTACTTATTCCAAACAAAGGCAGCATTGCCATAATTATCGAGTATATCCATCCACAAATCATAATATAAATTGCTGTTCGTTTTTTTAACCGGCGATTAATGAAAACTGCTTTTGTTATTGCAAACCAACGTTCTATTGTGATGATTGTAAGAGTAAATATTGACAGATGTGCTGCGAAAACATTTAGGAAGCCTGCTGACTTGCAGCCTATACCTAAAGAAAATCTTTATTTAAGAAAATTGTGATGTTTTAGATTGCTACTTACCATACTGCCAGTCAAATGCATAATTAAAGTATTCATTTGTGGAATATAAATCAATCAGTGCAATGAGAAACAGATAAACTCCAATGCACAAGTCTGCAAATGCCAAATTACAAACAAGTAATTTGGGAACAGTTATTTCGCTTTGGTTTGAAAGCAAAACAATCAATACAGCTACATTCCCAACCACAGACAATGATATTACTGGAAATATATAAAATATTATTAGAGCTTCATTAAAAGTATTCAATTAAGCTTCTTACCTATCCAAACAGACACTCTGAGCCATATTAATTCAAAGACATCTTCACAAGGATTCAATGCATCTGGTTTTGGAAAGCATGCGACAACCTTTTTTGTACTGTAAAGTATAAATTCAGAAGTTTCAATTTTAGATAATTTGTTGGACTGACAGCCAGACAAACAAACAGTCTGTGAGCTATTAACAGCTATTTACAGTTATTAACAGCTGTTCAGAGCTCTTGGCCACTATAAACAGCTCGTGACAGCTACCAACGGCTATAAATAGCTTCTAATGGCTACTGACAGCTAATGACGGCTATTAAAAGCTATTAACAGCTATTCAACTGACATTCAATAAGCATACCAAGCAGCCAGTCAACCAGCTTAAAAATCCAATAAAAAAAAACTTACGCAAAATTAAACTTTCCACACATTGCCTCAAAATTCTCATGCGGATCAACAGGACCGTTCATAAATGTTCCCATTCTATCAATATCATTATCAGTGCCAGTTTCCGTTGTGTCATATAAATCCATCAATCCCATTGCCTCCGTCATTTTGTCGCTCTCGTTAAATTTTATCGCTCTGACATCCCTAATCGAATAATTCAACACACTCGAACTCTCATTCATCTTCAGTTTTGATTCACAGTCGTGCTTTGAAAGCTTTATCAACTGCAAATGTTCGTTATAACGTCGCGGGTCGTGACGTGATGGAAACTTGAATGCACAGCAATGAAATGGGTGCGTTAAGTAAGCTTTTTCTAAATTCTGGATGTGGAGAAGACAAATGTAGGATATTTAAAGTGATTTATTGCCATTTATTAAGGATGATTAGGTTTTAATGCAGTGCTTCTCAAACTGTATGTTGCGGTACCATTATCATGGCTTAGTTAAGATTGTAAAAACCATTTCGTGTGATGCAAAAATTTATTTTTATAAAAAATGTGCCGTTGATCAAAAATGTTTGAGAAACACTGGCTAAATCGCACTGATGTGAGCTCAAACAAACCTTAAAGTTGTAAACTGATGGAATTTCCTTTAATGACGGAGTGTTTTGTATGCGAAGAATTTCAAGCTTTTCAAGACCTTTCGTTGACAGAGACTCAATTGATGAGCTTGACAAGTCCCTAAAGATGACACAAAATTAATAAAATTAAATTGTAGTTATGGGAGACATAAGAGGATTCAGTGCTCTGTAAACTGATTTTATAATTTTTTGTCAGTTCTTTTCAAGTGTTTTTAATGCTCTTTGAGCAACAAGGGAGTAAATTAAATTGAAAATGATATTAAATATGAGTAAGTTCTTCTCGTGCCAAAGAATTTGTAACTGGAGAAAAGGTTATAAGGAGGATGAGATGCACACTCCAGCGACTAATTCTTTTGACGAAAATATGCTCCATTAATTTTATATAAAATAATAACAAACAAATTACAGCTCTCGAATTGTCATGATTCCATCGAATGCCAGCTCATGTAGTGTGCATAAATTCTTGTTTCCTTTTAAGCTCCTGAAATATATCATAAAAGAATTAAAGACTTGAAAAAAGGTAACATACATCTTATTTTTAACCAGCTGAAACTAGGGGTTCAGAACTAAGGTTACGAGACATTTGAAAAACGATAAAAAGAATAGAAAAGGGCAGAGATCGAAGCCGATTTTTTCGGCATAACTCAATTTTTGATTATTTTGATAGAAAAAAGCCATTTAACACCCATTTTAAGTATTTAAATTGAACTTTACATGCTTTACTATGATTCTGTGAAATATTTTTTCAGCATGTTGCTATAGTAAGCTCTGAATTTCAATTTAGCCGATTTTAAGCCGATCGGCTTAAATTTCGGCTTAACATTCTTTAACTTGAAATTCTGAGCTCACTATAGCTACATGCTGACAAAATATTACACAGAATCATAGTAAAGCATGTAAAGTTCAATTTAAATACTTGAAATGGGTGTTAAATGTCTTTTTTCTATCAAAAAAATCAAAAATTGAGTTAAGCCGAAAAAATCGGCTTCGATCTCTGGAAAAGGGTCCTTCAAAAATCTAAGCAGATGACCAGTCTATCCGTGTTGATACAAAATTGCCGTTGCCTAGATTTTGCCTTTGATTAAGTAAGGCTCAAAAAAGGCAAAGGCAACAAAATTGTCTTTGTCAAAGGCAAAGGCTTGTGCCTTTGATTTCAAATTTCCTACTCTTAGATCCTTTTTTAATGTCAAGTGCTAGGATCCAACACTACTAATAATAGCCTTGTAATTAGTTCAATAACTATAGCAAAATACAACAAAAACAATTAATGTTTAACATCCTTACAATTTTCCAATTTCTGAACCACTAAAAGCTCGCCGATAAATTGTTGAAATCACATTGTTGTCTAGAATTCTAGAAAAAAAAAACATAGAACTTAATTGAGTTATAAAAAGGTAACTAAGCCTGAATAGCACAGCTGGTTAATCGAGTAGAAATCTAGCGCCATGACTGCATGACTCTAGCGTGGAGGTGGCTTAGATTTTAGTCCAGCATCATGCTAAAGTCACATCAGCTTTGTGCTGGATTTCTGATCGATTTGCTGACTTATGCCGTTCGGGGAGATTAAATAATTTAAAAGTCATCACAAAAAACACTTACAACTGCTCCGTTTTGATTTGAAAAGAATTTTCAGGAATTTCCGTGATTAAGTTTCCCTCAAAATCTCTGAAAACAACAAAGCATTCTGTCAATTGCGTCTGTACAATTGTTTTTAATAAGAACTTCGATTCAGTCTCAAGTGAATTGATTTAAAAACAAAAAGTTTAAAAAAAAAAACAATTAAACGAAAAGTTTAAAATTAAGAAAAATTTAATTAAAATTGTTTAGAAATTTTTTGCCTCAAAATGTTTTCTGAGTTTCCTTGTCCAAATCAAGTGCTACATCCGAAAATATTCTTGGTTTCTTTTCTCATATAAATAATAAATTATTGATGAATCTTGAATAATTCTCACAAATTGGAAGAATATTTTTATTTTGAATTATATCAACATATTTATAGTGACATAACTTAATATTAAAGATATCCAAAAAACAAGTAATTCGAAGAAATTCATCAATATAAAAAAATCAGGAAAAAAGCATGAATTCAGATTTTTCGCATGAATAAATAAACAAAAAACCAAAATACAATCGCCATTCAATCAACATTCACAATAATATATTATCAATATTTGACTTACAATTGAAGCAAAATGTCAGTCTTTGACAAAAATTTCAGATCAGGAATTTCTATTAAACCGGAATGAATGATTCGTCTGAAACGGAAGCCAATGTGGTGATTAATTTGAAGAAATCTAAACATTTTTATATGATTGATGAACCTACAGTGTCTTAAAGCTCTTTGATGTGTGATAAAAGACTTCAGCTGGAAGATATTGAAGCTTTGGTGAATGTGAAATGTAACTGGAATTGAGAAATGAACAGAAAAGTTTAAACAAAAAATTTATAATTTATGAGTTTTGTGCTGTGCAAATACTCACATTGTTCTCAAATGTATAAACTCTCTGAAAACGTACGGTTCAACGTAGCAAAATTCTTTTAGATTTATTAAAAATCTATGAAAATAAATGAAAAATTGGAGAGAAAAAAATTATTTTGTGTCAAAATTATTAAACTGAAGGCTCAAAAATTTATAATTTAAAATATTTGAAAGAATTTATAAAAAGAGTTTGAAAGTTTAAAAACAAAATTTAAAAATTTATAAACAAAATTTAAGAATTGATAAAAATAATTTAAAAATTTATTAAAATAATTTTAGAATTCATAAAAAAATTCAAAAATTTATAAAAATATTTTAATAACAATTTAAAAATTTATAAAAATAATTCAAAAATTATAACAATTTTAAATAGAGAAAATTTAAATTTTTATAGAATTTCAACTCTAAATTGAATTTTCAATTTGAATTCCAAATTATTTGAAAAAAAAAGAAAATTAACGCTACAATTGAGAATAAAAAAAACCTTTTACAAAAATTAGAATTTGTAAAAAAAACTGAAAAATCATAAAAAATATCAAAAAGTTGAAAATTCTAAGAAAAATTAAAATATTGAAAAATCCAATTTTTTTAAAAATATTAAAAAACTGAAAAATCCAAAATTAATAAAATATATTACAAATTGATAAATTGATATTGAAAAAAAACAAAACAACTTAAGTTGCAAAAAATAGCCAATTCTTTAATTTTTAAACAAAAAACTTATTATTCAAATTTAATTCAAAAAAACACTTAAAAGTCTCTTTAAAGCCAACCAATCAAAAAACAAATTAAAACTTTATAAACTCACAGATCCTTTAAATTCTTAGAATATCGCCCCACACCATACTCCCTTAAAGCTTTAATTCTCGCATTTGCTATCGACAATAGTGTTACGTTGTCTAAGTATTGTGGAATTTCTGTTAAATTTCTACCTTCACAGTGGCAGTCAGTCTCATTCTATAAAGTGAAACAGGAGGAAAAACAATTCTTTAATGTTAAACATAATAAATGCAGAAATTTATATGAAAAAGAACTTTGGTGCTTAAACGATAATCTTCTCATTAGTCTTGATGCTAATTAAGTCGATTTCAGCATTTGCCTCGCAATTAAGCGCAGGTGTCTCATCCTCGAGGGGAGCATTTTTTTTTACAACCAAACGCGGATCTTTTTTTCATTTTTTTCACAAAAAATTCACTTCTGGTTTATGCTGTTCATTATCTCTATAGCAACATATATTAAGCTATTGATTTCAGATGTAAGATTGTTCATTTTTCCTGTCTCATGCTTTTCAATTAATCTCATCCACATAACATGAAGGCTTTTATCCGATAGATAGATAGATGATAATGTCAACAACATAAAGCAGTGGTTTTTAATCTTTTTTGTACCACGGCACATCTTTTTGATAAGGCATGACTGAAATCGAACACAGCATTCGTTTTAATTTTTATCGCGGCACAAAGGTTGGCCATCACTGATATAAAACATTAAAAAGACAGATTGTATAAGAAAGAACAGGAAATGTGCTTGATATTGAGTATGTTGAGTGTTATTTTAGATAGTAAACCTCTTATCAACCTGCAGATGCATAACAGCTTGTCTGTACATGCAAACAAGTGCTTGCGAATGAAATAAACATTTTAAGTAGCTTTATTTCTTTTTATTTATTTCAATGCATCAATTCATTGCTTATTTTTGTGAAAATAATTGATCCTTGACATTTTCCAAGCCTTTTTAATCTTCTTATTAACTTGTTGAATGCTCATCGAGATACCATGATGTAGACAGTGATGTGGATAATTTAATTTGTATCCAGCAATGCAAAATTCATATGTATCAAGCTGTTCATTGATTGTTAATGTACTTTTGTGATAAAAAAGGTATGAAAATAAAAGAGCGAAAATTTGCTGTGGCGATGAAATGGAATTTAACACGTGTCTATTTTTAAAAAGGTTTCGAGTCACGAAGAGAAGCATTTAGATGCTCGATTGAAAAATAATTTGAGGTTTTTCTTGAACTTTTTTTTAACATTTAACAGGAATTATTATTTTGAGTTTAAACCTAATCTGATTAATTTTAGAAAAAAAATCATTTTATAAAGGGGCTGTTCACTTATTACGTAACGCGAAAAAATGACTTCTTAGACCCCCCCCCCCCCCCCCTCGTAACAAAATTTGTATGAAAAAAAAATTTCCTTGTTTGAACCGTAACAAAATCTTAGACCCCCCCCCCCTAAAAGCGTTACGTAATAAGTGAATGGCCCCAAAGAAAAATAATTTTATTATTAAAATTATTCAAATTTTTAAAGTTTTTTCCAAAATTATTTTTTTCAAAACCCCTCTTCTGTTTCCATTTTGTGGGAAGTTAATTAAGTAGCTAATTTGGAGATATTTTTCATACTTTAAATTGAAGTTTAAGTTTCTAAAATGCTATTGTCACCGGAAAGATAAGTGAATGCAAAATTTTAGCTCGATTGGAGCAATAGAAATGGTCGAAAAATTGATCGCAAGATTTGACCTCGACAAACAGACAAACAGATAAGAAAGCAAGTTAAGAAAAACGTGGTAAAAATTAATACTGTCAAATTTTCTGTCCCTTTCTCGTTCGATCAGCGAAGGTGTGGAACTGATAAATTGCATTTTGTTCATTTTTAATCATTTTTGATAAGTATGTCAATTTTCCACTCTTAACGATCAGCGAGTTTTGAATCGTAGTTAAGAAGAGAACCGCGAAGGTCTACAAAAGCAATCCCAAGCGACAAAAAGTTTATATTGACATGGTGGCGAACTAAAGGAGACACCTTAAGGCTGGTTTTTGACACTTTACGACGTGACATTGCGTTGAGTTGTCACAAGTCAAAAGGCATCTTGCAGACGGATAAATTCAACAAGGTTTCTCCTTCAAGTCAACACCATATCGCTCGGGAGTCTCCAATCTTTCAAATTTAAATCTATGGAGATTGCTCCATCTTAGTTGTGCTTCTGGAATTGGTTTCTCATAGATTCAGAATTTTCGAGAACGAGACCGAGACTGAAATATTGGTTTCTACAGCTAACCATCGCACCTTCTTCAAGTTACAATCAATTGTTTTTAAAATCCACAGATTTTTCTTCAATAATTTTCAATTCTAAGAAAGGAAACCATAAAGTGCCCTAAAATTCAACCTCTTGCTGATCACGATGTCGATTTAATGTCGATCATACCTTCAACTTAAGTAGTTTATTATTCTTTTGGAACAACAACATGTTTTCTCATCCAAACTCATCAAAAAAAGTTGTTTACATTTTATGTATCATATGATCCCGAGCGGCACACAAGCGTCATATGACGGTCATATGATTGTCATATGACAGCCGTCATCGTCATAAAGACGTCATGAATGACGATCATATGATCGTCATATGATGATAAGACGTCATCACGACATCGTCTCGATTCGATTTATGACCTCATGTGATGGTCATTTGACGAAAAATTCGTCACTTGACGATCAAATGAAAACGTCAATTGATGGTCATATGATGATCAAATGACAAAATTGCTATGGCGAGACGACGAGCATAAACTGTGATATATATATACTGAATATCGGTATATATGCTGAATTTTGACTGAAATAATTTTTTTAAAATTTATCGAAAAACTTGTTAATTTGTGTACAATATTTATATTTATTTTAAATTATAAACATAAGCCATAAGATTTAACATACAACATAAATTAGGGTGACTATCTGCGTAGTTTTACAACGGACAGTCCTGTATTTCAAAACCCTGTCCTGTATAAATTTTTAAATTTTGTTCTTGGTCCTGTATTTTTTTCATGAAAATTTCCGTTAATTTTCGAATTTTACTCTATGTCCTGTTTTTTTCGAAAAAATTTACCAAATGTCCTGTATTTTCATGAAAACTAGATGGTAACCCTACACATAATGAAAATTCTTGATGAACAGGTTTCTTTCAGAATTTTGGATTTTTTATTGCCTTTTTCGCTTTTTGCGTCGAATAATGAATTTAAATCGTCCTCACTTACCTTTTTTACTCCTTTTTTAGAATTCTTTTTTCTTTCATTTTTTGACTTCTGATGATATGTCATTACGATACAGACGAGTTTTCATTGACGCAACAGCTAGTGGAAAATTTGCTGAAAATAAATTGTACCATACATTAAAAATAAAAATTTATCATTAGATATTTTTAATTTTCTTACGTACTTCTGTCTTTAACACCACGATTTCTAATACATCCCAGGTTGATGACGGTTCACTTTTATAACGGATTGAAAATAATTTTCCTTCCTTCACTTCAACTTCTCGAACACAAATGAATAAAACAAAATTTTCACCCAAACTAGTGTATCGGGTAGTTACCCAATGCGGATTATATTCACACCGTACTATCAAAGTCTTATGGATAGACCAAGATTTGCCCATCATAAGTATGAATGTATGAAGCTTGATAAGTCAACTTCGCTCAGCATAAGTTTGAAGTTATAAAGCTATCGAGTCAGCTGAGCTTCGCTTAGTATAAGTTTGGAGGTATAAAGCTTGATGAATATCCCAAACATTCGTATACTATATATATTATAAAAATCACAGTGAACTTTTGTTTAGAAAAATTCATAAGAAAGGAAAGTTTTTTGCTTTTTCTGAAGCAACGACTGTTCCTACCTTGCCTAAAAACAATACAGCTCTTCTATAGAGCAGCACGGATCAAATGTAAAAAGCTAGAAGTCTTTACGATGTCTCGTTATTGAGATTTCTTGCTTGTTTGCTTGTTTGCTTGTTTGCTTGCTTACAGAAAGCCTATTTTGCGATTTTCTCAGCAATACCACAACCAATTTGAAATCTGTTTTTTGAAAGTGATGTGAAATTCCAGGCACAAACTGTTCATCTCTGAACATTTTAAGCTATCTTGCTCCATATCCTCACAAAATTCTAAAAACTTATTTTTCAATCTGAACAAAACCAATAAATTCACACGTGAAAACGGTGTGAATATAAAAAAATGGTAACTTTGATTACCATTGATAATTTTATGTCAAATTTTGCAATCATTTTGAAGATCATTTTGATGATAAGCATATCTATTTTTACATTCAAAATTCGTTAGTAATCTGTGAGCATACATTGAATGAAAGCTCATTTCCAAAATCTCGAAAAAATAATTCAACAAAAAATTTTGTTCAATCTTCGAATACCATTCAGAAAATAATTATCAGTTTATACAGTGCAAAAACAGTTCAAAGAAAAAAGTTTAAGCAAAACATACAATCGAAATTTGTTGAAAATTGGCTGAAAATCAAAAATTATCGTCATTCATGACTTTCATTTGATCGTCATATGATCGTCATAATATTTTAGAAAAAAAAAATCGTCGTACAATCATCATCGTCATGACGAAGATGCTCATATGACGATCATTTGATCATCATCGTCAAATTGTGCCGCTCGGGGATACAGACATAAAATATTGTATCTAAGCACCTATAAACATCATTATTGTATTATTAAGTACAAAAGAGCTATAAAAAGTCATTCATAAAGTTTTTTACGTATAATCTTAATCAAAAAAAAAGTTGCTTACCTCAACGTCAATAAGTTCACTTGAACATGTGCACCACGATGATAAATTTCTTATATTTGAAACTTGAACAGTTTGCGAACTTCTTAACCGACTCCAACTGCGGACATTATTGGGCTGTAAATCTGGGCAGGCGACGATGAGGGTAAAAGTTATTGCGGAAAATGTCAAAATTATTTTATTATAAATAATCATTGATGTTTTTGTCATTTATCACTTAATTTATGTTTACACAAGTTAAAAGGTTCATTTTCATTAACATTATTTTTATTTTTCGTGTGCTGCAACTTCCGTGGATTTTTTTTATTATTATTTTTGTTTATTTTTCGCTTGGATAAATTTTAATGACTCGCGTTGAATTTAATGGGTGATTTGCGAATTGTAAGTTCATTTTGACTAGTTTGTAAGTTTGTAAGTTCATTTTGACTAGTTTTAATAATAAAAAAAATAAAAAAATATATGAAATGTGAGAAATCTTATTTAATGATTTTTGCACGGCGTGGAAACTTAAGATTAATCCTGAAAAATCCCAAAAATCTTAAAAAAATCCCTGAGCCAATAAACATGGAAATGTGAAATCCCTTTTAAATCCCGAAGTTATTCATCAAATGCATCAGGGATTTAAAAGGGATTTCACATTTCCATGATAATTGGCTCAGGGATTTTGTTTTGGATTTTTGGGATTTTTCAGGATTAATCCTGAGTTTCCACGCTTTGGATTTTTGCTAACAACTTTAACATAAGCATTCCAGTGTTTCTCAAATTTTTTTTATTAACGAAACACTTTTGTACTTAAAAATTTTCGCAGCACAATTAAAATTCTTTCACTGCACACTAATGTTCCGTGGCACTTAGTTTAAGAACCGCTTAAAATATTATATATTTTTTTTTTCAAATTGAACAAAATTTCTCGTTTGTTTTTACATTCTCAGATTCATATGGTTATTATCAGAGGTCGAAGCCGACATGAGTTCGCTCCGGTTCGCAAAAAAACCGATTCAAATTTGAATAGATTTTTTTCTGCTGCCACTTGTGAAGTACAACATTTTATACAAATTTACCGGTTATCGAATCGGTTTTTTAGCGAACCCGAGCGAACTCATGTCGGCTTCGACCTCTGGTTATTATTAATGAATAATTTTTAAATTTTGGTCATTTTCGATGCTGAGATCGGCTCATGTCAAGTTATTTGATCAAAAACCTTTGACAACCTATTTAGATTATGCAAATTTAATGTATTCAGATATGTAGCCAGGATTTTTCATCTGGGGTGACTTAAAAATTGTTTTGTCAAAAATCAATAAAACCTTCTCTATTCGATCATTAAAAGCTAATTTTATTGTTTTTGCTTTTGTTAATTAACCACGAAAAAATTTTTTTAAAAAAAATTTAACAAAGATTCGTTTGAAATTTCAATATCAAGGAAGGGGGTGGGCATGCCTGGGCACCTAAGGACCCCCCGGTTACGCTTCTGAATGTATTCATCCTAAAAACTAATTTTAAAATATTTCAAATTTCAGAAAGAAGTGATCAAAAATTTGTAAAATATTCCAACTTTTTAATCCCTAAAGTTATGTTCTCAAAAGAATAATTATTTCTAAAACTCAAATTTTTTGTGATATTAAAAATTAATTTTCCTACAATTCAATCTACTATATGAAAATAGATTTTCTAGATTTTGTACTTATTTCTACACATCTGGTCGCCAACAGCGCATATTTTCATATGAATCATTTTAAATCGCCGCTCAATCTCCCCAAAAGGCAAACATTCAACGGAAAAAACTTTTTCAACTCATGCAATTTAATAACACAAGACCATCATTTAATTAAGTCAGTTAGAAAATGAACATTTTTATGAGTTATGGTAGGTCATGTGGTAAGCAAATATTTAATGACGGCTTTTATGGACGCAGTCATTAGTGGGAGCGACGATACAAACTGCTAGTTTATTTATTTAAAGGAAATGAAAAAGTCAAATGTGGATTTTTTTTCTTCTGATATAAATAGGCGGGAAAATGTTTACATTTTGTGATTTTTTTAAAGAAAATATTTTTTTTCGCCCGCAGCTATGGAAAAGTTCAATATTATTTGATGAGTTTCGCGGTAACATTAACATGTGTGTGATTATCTTCAACCCGAAAATAATGGAAAGGAAATAATTACTGTGTGAGAATCCAAATGTCAGATAAGCTATCATCGCTGTTATAATTAAAAACAATTAAGAGTATTTAATGCGATGATAATTACTAGTTATTGGTTTCAGTTGTTGGAAATTTTTGAGGATGTCTTTTAAATATTTTTGATGACCATTTCGTAACTTATGAGCAATTAATGGCGACTTAATAAGCACTTTATTGGAAAGGACTACGAAAGGTCACTAGCACAAGCTCACTAGGATATATCACTAGGATAGGTTACTAGGATAAGTCACTAAGATAAGTCACTAGGATAGGTCACTAGGATAAAATCACTAGGATAAGTCACTAGGATAGGTCACTAGGATAAGTCACTAGGATAGGTCACTAGGATAAGTCACTAGGATAAGTCACTAGGATAAGTCACTAAGATAGGTCACTAGAATAGATCACCAGGATAAGTCACTAGGATATGTCACAAGGATAAGTCACTAGGTTAGGTCACTAGAATAAGTCACTAGGATTAGTCACTAGGATAAGTCACTAGGATAAATCACTAGGATAAGTCACTAGGATAAGTCACTAAGATAGGTCACTAGAATAGCAATAGATTTATTTTTCATAAAACAATAAGCAAAGACAACAATTCTATGAAAAGCGTAAAATTTTCCGTAAAAAGCCTAAATATAGCTTCCTAAAAAGTATAAGAAGACAAAGTAATAAAAATAATCAGAGTAGAAATGAACGTTGAATTATTTACATTTCCATGTCGAGCACAAACTTTTCAAGATGAAAAATCACGAAGAAAAATGCTAAAGTGTCCTTGACTGAGAAAGAAAAGAGAAGAAACATTTCTCACGCATTATCTGAGTTTTCTTCTTGTATGTGAATCAACTTTTAAAGTCGAAGTCATTTTTTCAATCAGGAACGATTTGACAACAACAACAGCAATATTTTGAGGATTATTAAATGAAATATGTTGAAAGTTGTAGAAATTAGAAGTTAATTTGGAGAGGACAAGGTATTTCAGCGTTGCCTGCTTAATGATGAAAGAATTAAACTTTCTTGCTAAATATTGATTTTAATAACCGAAATTATATTAATTATATTATCAACTTAATATACACAAGAAGATGAATTGCCGCAAAAATTCTACAAAAATAGCCGTCAAATGTCAATTTAATTGGTGTTGACATTTTTATCATTTCCATGGAACTGTCTGAGCCTGTCTGAGCAAGAAAGTTAATTATAATCAATTAAATGTGACGAGTTTAAAGAAATTAAATTTAATTGACAGAAAAGAAAACGAAAAAGTTTGCAAGGACAACAAATTAAATATATTTTTTTTTTGGATTATTTGGTTGAGCAGGTATGACTAGTTGGTCAGTTGATACACCTTCCCCTTCTCAAGGGTGTGACTGAAGTCAGCCGGCGACCAAATGATTTGAAACTTTTACCATAATTTTATAATAATATTGTCAAATTTCGTCAAGCAAACCCCGAATTTTGTCATGCCTTCCTTGACAAACTACAACAGCTTCAATTTTTGGGGATATTTCAGTCTCAAGGGTTCTCAAGGCTATACCTCGGTTTATATTTTCATTTAAGAATTGGGTCAAGGAGTGAGTTTACTTTGAGAAAGTTGAGCTATATTATTTAGGTTGTCCATCGGTTTCTGTCGATTTTTGGTCAAAAAATTAGACGTGTCCTGATTTCAGCTCTGAAAAGGCGGGTCAGAGGCAGGACTGTGTCCCAGAAAATTGGACTGTCCCGCTCAAAAGTGCGCAGTTAGACAGTCTAGAAATATAAGCTGTTGTGGAACGTTTGACTTATTTCTGAGCAGCTAATTTACTGTCAAGATCTACACTAGACTAGAATATAAGTTTCTACACTCTTTATTTAATCTTTAAGTAAAGAAACCGAGAAAATCCATTTTTCAAATAAAAACACAAAAGCAAAACTAATCAAATTTAATATTTTTGACACAACAGAGCATTTAGCTAATAAAAATGTGCTTAATAAGAAGCAATGCGAGTGTCAATTTATGCGAAAAAGATAATATGAATAAAATTACATAACCTAATCCCTCCAGAGACTCACAAGCATATGTTCAAATTTATTTATTGCTTTCAATAAAAATGAAAATTAATGGAACAAAAACACAAAAAAGTCCTATGGGATAACAATGAATAATTGTAAGTTAAAGAATACATTTAAGGATTTAGAGAAAATTAGCTTTTATGTAAGCTGCTGATTAAGAAAACAATATTTGAGATTGTAAGGCAGTAAAAATCAAACAAAGCTAATTTTTTGTAAAGTTTAATATAAAAGTTTCAAGGCTTATTTCTCAGTATGGAGTTCATTTGCTTGACATGTAAATTAGGATTTGAGTCTCGAGTTGTGTGGCAATCCATGCATTACATTGCGTATTAAGAATAAGGGTGAATTTGCCGCTCAGCCCAGACAAAGAAGCTTTTTTGGAACTGTTACTGGAGCTAATTTTGAAGCAGCTTACTTTAGACTCAATCAAAATATATAAAAATCTTAAAGCTAAGAATATTTTCTAGTTCATTGTGCCAAGTTTAGTCAAAGACATCGATTGCTGCTTTAAAGCTGCATTTTAAACAATAATAATTCCTTTAAAAACACTCAACATGCCACAATATATTAGGCAGACATGTGCTGTACATAATAAGTAGGAAGAAGACAACAATAAATTGTAGATTCTTGAAGAACACATCATTTATAAACGACTCATCAGTAGGGTGACTAGAACGGGACAAAAGATTCTATCATCGATCAGGATCGCAGTGCCTTCAGCTCGTCGCAACGTGTAGTAACACAACGCCTGGCTGGAACCCTTTCACATTATTATTATTGTTATTATTATTTGGGTGACCAGAAGCTTTTTTTTTGAAAAGGGGGCCTGAAAGTAAATTAAAGGACATTCCACGTTTTTACCAATTTCTGGACGAATTAGAAAAAAATCAAATTTTTTTTTGAAAAATGAAAAAAAATTGAAGATTGTCCTCTAAAAAATTAAGAGGATGTTCAGCTTATCCATCAGTGCAAA